CGATTTCGCTGCCGGATGTGCAGCGATTTCGCTGCTATGCGGCAGCGAAATCGCTGCTGATTTCGCTGCCTCACAGCAGCGATTTCGCTGCCGGAAAGCGATTTCAGCAACGAAAATCGCTGCTCTGCTGAGGAGGGGGGAGGAGGGGAGGAGAGAGGGAGGCGGAGGGGCGGCGGCGGCGACGGTGAGAAAGAGGGTGGTGGGAGGGAGAGAGAGAGGGGGGGGCAGCCGTGAGAGAGAGAAATTAGGGTTGAAAATTAATTAGGTTTTGGATATATTTATGGTTTGATATTTAAAATAAAATACCTGAAAAGTGAATAAAAAACGTACAAACCTAATTTTAAAAAACCACTCTTTAAACACCTGATTTTTTATAATTTCCCTAAACTAAATTTTTATTTCTTAATCCCAACCCAACCCAATAGAACTAAAAAACCAATTTAAACTGGTTGGGTCAATCAATTTGACTAATTCAAATTGATTTTTGCTCAACCCTTTTTGTACCTAAAATGGTTTTATATAGACAGTATTATTCCGTAACAAGTTTATGTTACCCCCTATGAATTGAAAATGCTCTTAAATTCAGCGGAACAAATTTTTTTGTACAAATGATATTTTATAGCCTCACCCACGGTCGAAACAATTCTTTTTATCTTTTAAATTCAATTTTCTTAATAACTAACCCCCTATTTAAAAAATTACATATTAAATGCGAATGATTTAAAATTTATTTATTTCTAGACTCAAATTGAGAAGCAGATTAAATTATTATAAAATTCTAAAGAAAAGAATATCTAGCTCGCAGTTATCTCCCATAAGGAAAATAAATAAATAAATCCGAATCACTGATTATAAAATGTAAAAGTATTCTTCAATCTTTTTGTTAGATCTCACCAAAGTTTTTACATTTATGACGAGATAAAAGAAAAATATAAATAACGATCAAACACGAACAGTGATAACAACAACAAATAGTAGTAACAAAACTCTAAATTACTATACATCATACTTCCAATTGCTGCATGATGTCAAAACAACCTGTACCCATCTTTACGGGCAAGCCAACGCAAATCCTAGAAGATGGTGTCTCCAAGTTGTCGGTCATCCCATGAGAAGCTGCTTCTACAATGAACTTTGAGGCTGTTTCAAACGACATCTTAATAAATGGTGACAATGACTCAGCAATGCTTCCGTGTCTGGTCATTGGTCGGTAACCCCCCGTATGGGTCATGTAATCTGCGATTAAACTCAAATGTCGATAGTCAATCTTTACTCCGTAAATATCAAAAACTTGCTTCACCTCTCTTATGATGGTTGCTCGAGCAGCTTCTACCCCATAGGTCTTCAACATAGCATCGATGTTGTTGGAGTATAAACGACTCAGATCGAGGTCATTTTGCATATCCCAGAATGACTTGAAATCAACTCCTGATGCCTTCATTGCCCAATAATCGAGGTCTTCGTTGCCTGTCTGCAAATCCTTAACAGTGGACTTTCTCGGCTTTTTATCATCATCCCAAATAACTGATTTTTCATCTGCATCATATTTTACCATTTTACAATGACTGATCTTGCCTGAGCTCTTGATATATACTTTCTTTGCAGTCTTCTGAGCAATCTGTAAATTAGTTTTACGAAATTCTCATTTAGCATGTTAGCTACTGGCATGTTCGGTAATGAGCATTAGATAGTACTAGACATGCATTAAAGAATAAAAACAAGCTACATCTTGTTTATTATACCGCCTACTCCTACCCAGCAGTACACTACCAAATATTCACTAAATGCATTGGATAGAGAGAGGATTGAAGGGTCGAGATATACCTGAGCAAGCAACAAATGAGGTTCCTTTGTAAATTTAAAGTGGACTTCAAAATGCAATCCTCTAACTGCAATGTAGATTGCCCTGCGCGGTTTCTTGTCTGAAGATTCTTCTCCTGATTTTTTATTTTTAACCGCTGATTTGAAGCCAACCCGACTTGATTTAGACTCTGACTTCATTTCATTATCATTTTGCATATTAGAAGCTTCATCATCGTCATCTGAGTCAGTTTCCTCATCCTTCCTACTCTCAACCTCCTTGAGATGATCTTGATTAGTCTGTCCTCCTTCAAGTTCAGAAGATAACTCACCTTCATCAGGTTCATCTTCAGAGGAATCAGAGCCATCATCATAATCCATCTCATCCGTAGATTGTTGTTTTCTCTTTTGCGCATCTGAACCTAGATCCTCTCCCCTTTCAACACCATCAGCATCCATATCATTGTCCATGTCTTCTTGTGATCCAACTGTAGAATTATTGTCAGCTTCATTTAAGGTCTCTGACGGTGAACTCAACGTGAAATTTCTAATTCCACTAATTCTGGATAGGAACACCACGTGATTTTCTATTGCCTCCTCCAATTCCCTTAAGAACGTGGATCTGAGAGTTGCATGTAGGTCTTCTAATGACACAAATTCAGTTGCTTTCAATTTCATTTTCAGCTTGTAGATTCTAGCCACTTGCTGGTCATTAATTAAGAGTTCAACTTCCATGCTCTCAGCCAAATCCGCTATACATACTTTCTTCACATTCGCAATAAGAGACGTAACATCAGGCCTGCATTTATAGACAAAAGTTATCAATGTATTCATACATGCACTACAGAAAACCTCGTCGTAATCAAAATATTATTTTATTCGAGTTTCTATTTCCTCAAAATATACAAGTCCATATCAAATATTTAAGTTTCAAGATCCTTGTGAAACCCTCAACTAATACCAGTGCCATTGAAACTACAAATCAAAAATTGCATTTTGAAAAAAGAGTAATAAATATTATTAACTTGGGGGAAATAGCAATGTATGTACTGTGTTCTCTTTATTTCAGAGCCAAAATCAAGCCGTTTCCTTTTTGTGGTGGAGGAAATACAAGCGAGCCAACCCTATCAACTAGTCAACACAGACAGCAAAAATTGGCATGTGATGCATGGAACTGAAAAACCAGCGAACCAGGGCACATTTACATACAAGTAAATAAGTAAATTTTTTAACAAATAATTTTTTTAATTAGTCAAAGCTAGAAATAAGTTACTTATTTTTGACAATAGTAATTTTTTTTTAATTGGGAAATAAAAAAAATAAAAATGCTATCCAGAGATGTTTGAATAGAAAGTTGCTTAACAGGAACTTTTACTTGTGTATGCTTAGCCAAACATGCTCCCAATACTGGTACTGAAACCCTATCACTGCAAAGATTAACATACAATAGAACTCACTTAGATCTGTATTGCATGAATGGGCATGTCAAAATGGGAGTCTTGATAATGTCTGATGCAGTCATCAAAATCTCCTGCAGACGCGGAATACCAAGGGTAACATTCATTTCCCCACGGCCAGCAAGATGGAAAGTGTTTAGTCTGAAAAAGATACAAGCATCTAATCAGACATGGCTGTTTTGATGTTACAGTATAGTGTAAATTAAGGAGAGTTTATTGCTAAAGTGAAGATATGAACACATTATAAAATGTATCCCCGAAAAACATGGAACTATTTAACCGTAACACGGGTAGTACTTAACGGGGCATCGTTATCTTCAATAAGAGATATTTGCATACAGTATTATTTTGGCAACCATGACTACCTCTTGAAAGCACACGAATTACTCGAAGGAATAACATTTGGCATCCTATATTTAGCCAATTGGGCCTTTTTCTCATCCCGCCATTTCTTTATGGGTCAAATCCTTTTCTTTTTCATTTTTCTTTTAAAGTCAACTACAGCATCATAATTTCTCCATATACTAAATAATTCAAGAAATGTAATATTTGAAAACTCCAAGCATAAATTATAGAGAAACAACGAGATGGAAGGATCAAATAAAACCTCAAATATGCAAGTGCTTATTTTTATTCTTAATTTTTTTTAAAACAGCAAGTGTTTATTGTGAGAGCAGAGAAGTGAGAATTACATGAACTTACGTCATCTGTGTTGATGGTTCACCAATGGATTGAGCAGCAATGACTCCAACTGGTTCTCCTGATTGTGCTAGACTTGATAGATATTTTTGCTCAACCAAATCTAGAAACTCATTTTGCTCCTTTTTTATTGCCTTCTGTTCTTCTAATTGGTTTTCCTTCTTTTTTGACTTGCGTCCTTTAGGTAAGTGCTTATTTTCAGTCAGTTTCTGTACTTCTGATGTCTCTTTTCTTGCATCACAAATAAATTGCCTTGCTTCCTTTTCAAGCAAATCAGGCAACTTTTCAATATATGTATTGAACTCACGCTTGTTCTGAAATTTTCGGCAAATAGTTTCTTGATTCTGAACAACATTAAAGAGAGGATGTCTTAGTTATCATACTGTACGCATGTCATAAAAAATAGACAATTATTTCATTAGATTACACAAAGAATCTAGGTCCTTACATCTGCTAGAGCCTTGAAATTTTTTAGAAAGCTTGTGCGGTGCACATCAACACCATCTTCTCCATAATAAAACTGAATTATTGAACCATCTGCATCACGGACAGTATAATCATAACTAACTTTCAGACTCTCAAGATTTTTTATGAGGCACCGTTGTAGATATCCACTACGAGATGTTTTTACTGCAGTATCAACCAACCTGTACAAGAAAAAATAACAGTTAGAAAAGCCAATACCAGGAAGCTATGGAGACAACAATAATCCTCTGGTTTTAGGAATCCACACTAACATGATACTGCAATCTCCAACATTTATATAATGGCCTAAAACTTCAATATAAACAGCAACTCATGTACTTCACCCCATGAAATAGAAGAAACACGTCAGAGATTCCTAATGAAGTATCGCGATGCAGCAGGAGGGGCGGATGTCATGAAAATATTTTCCAGAAAATGCTTAAAACCCAATTTAATACACCATTCCAGGTTGAATCAATTTTCAGGCAATAAGCAGCTATAACAAAGTTACCTCCTTCGTGACCCATTAAAGTGATATCTATTAGGTAATGAAAAGAAGTTTATGGCGTAATACGTAAAAAAGAAGACAAAAGGTTTGACATTCAAATGGATTTACTTCAGTAGGAACTTCATGTACTGTCCCAACCTGAAAGGTATTTAGTCACTAGTGAAGCAATAAGTGGGAATAATCCCCTAGTTAAAAACATTCTTCAAGAGGCAAAACAGGTAACTCCCTACTGAACCAGCAGTAAATCTTGTAACTTTAACAAACATGTACATAAGATTTATCGTACTTCTTAAACAAAATTCAAAAGGTTTGACATTAAAATAGATTTACTTCAGTCAGAACTTCAAGTATTGTCCTAACCTGAAAGGTATTTTGTCTCTAGTGAAGCAATAAATGGGAATAATCCCCTAGGTTTGAAATCAGAGGGTCTGTGATAGTAACAATTTATCTAGCAACCATGATGCCACTAAAAATTGTCGAAGTACCACTATCCTGAAAAAGCCTGGAAACAACTCAAAAGCACTTGATTCTAGTGGGATTGACTATGTAATCTTAATTGGGCAAATTGAATTTGCTATCAGGATTTATGCTATTTGCTCAACACGTGGTGGCAGATGCTATTTAATGTCAGAATGCCAGGGAAGGGCAAGCTGGCCCCTAGATTTAAGGGAATACCGCATTTGTTCCCCAACCTAAAGTGTGTACACTGGGTGGGGGTATGTGAGCACGATTGAGCTGCCAAAAAATTGTCATATAACATTGTAGAAGCAACTTAAAAATTTATCATTCATGGGCAGTTAACCAAACTAGTTACAATGTTAGATTTACAGTGAAGCCAGCATTTACCCTTCACGACCAGCCATGCAATGGAAGTAATACTCTTGAGGTCGAAGACCAGTGAGAAAGCGATCAGTTATAAAGCCTCCAGCTCTAGAAGTGAAATTCCATGGTGAAAAGCAGGGCAAGGTTTTCCCTGAAACCATTCGGGGTACTCTTTTACCTTCCAACTCTTGTTGGCCAAGATAGGAAGATATTTGTTGGAAATTGACCTATTCAATTCATTTGACAAACCAATTATATATATATACTCCCTCTTATCATTAGTCATTACAAGATTATTTAAATGTCAATATCACAACACCATGCATAAAACTAGTTTTCTCGAAATCAAGAAAAAGATACAAAAATCGGAGCATAAACTTCAAATGTTTGTCATCTTTTCCTTGAATTTTTCACTAAAAAAAAAAGGTATTACATAGTTTATTGGTGGAAAAAGGATAGACTAGAAATCCTTGTAGAAGAATACTTGATAAATTATAAAGGAACAGTTGTGGAAGTGTTTGTAAGTGCCATGCCATATTTGGTTAAATGACATTTAATTGGGTAAATAGCACCATGGATCCTGAACCTTTGAACCTTTGACAACTGGGGTCCACAAACTTTCAATTTATGGCACCCCAGATACTTAACCTTTAAAAAGCTTGCGAGTTTGTTAGAAAAACAGTCATTAAATGTTCAAAATTTTCTTGAAGATAAGAAAAAGAAACACAGGAATAAAAAACACTAAACGGAAAATCCCCCAGCACATCCCCCTCCTTCCCTGACACACCCCCACCATTAACTCTGCCACTGCCCAAAAATTCCAAATCTACCTCCTAAACTCTAAAGCCTCCCAAATCAGTGTGAATTGAACAGAAATTTTTTTTTTTTTGAAAGGTAAATTGAACAGAAAATTAAGCCAAGAAAATACAAACAAAAACCACTGTTTCCCAAATACAAACCCTTAATTGAACTAAAAGTCAAGAAAACTGAAAATAATGAAAATCCAAAACCATTGCCGCCACTATCCATTGTCTGCCCAAAACATACATCCGTAACGCCGCATCCACCACTGCCTCCTCCACCTTTTCATTCTCTTTCTCTTGGTGTGTTATACACTTATTCCCACACAGACACGTATATATACTACATAAACAAAACTAAACAAATACAAATGCATACTTGTAGATATATATACATTCAGAAATCAAAGGGAGGGGCTGGTGGAAGAGGCGAGCAGCTGGGGATAACAAACCCACAACCTACCACCACGATCAAGCTACGACCGCCGAACCAAATTGATGATCCCACTGGGTCTGGGAAAATTGTGAAAGGCAGAGTACAAAATGGGAAATGTGAATTTGAACGAACATGTAAAGGTTGGAACAATCAGCAACTTCTAAAAGATTGAAGATGAAATTAGATTTGTTACCTGCTATTTTTTCCTGCATCTTGAGATTGTGGTGATGAGGTGGCAGTAGATTTTTAGTTGATGATAAGAGGTTTTCTTTGTAGTTTATTTCTTTGCCAATTTTGATCTGACTATGGGATTTGATGCCCCTAGCTTGCAGCTGGTTTGCTAATGTCAACGATAGCACGTTGTGACTAGAAAGGTGGTGGTTGTGTAAGCAGATTTTGGGGGTAGGTCGACATTTTTTGGAAGCTAATGAGCACTTAAGGATGTCAATTTGAATCTTCGGACCGGCGGGCAATCAGCCGACAATTGGGTTGATTGTGGGTGTGTTTAGGGGAGGAAGGTTTTGGGGCAAGGAGATTTTTGTTTTATGTTTATTCCCCTTGTGTCTTTTCTTTTTTATTTTTCTTTCCATATCTATTTTTTGATTCGAAAAAGGGCAGATTAGTCATTTTAAGAAAATTTTGATCATTTTAACCATCAAATGGTTTTTCTAACAGAAGGACCATTTTCATAAGCTTTTTAAAGGTTAAGGACCTGGAGTTTTACAAATTTAAGGTTCGGGACCCTATCATCACAAGGTACAAAGGTCCGGGATCCCAAGTTTTATTTGCCCTATCATATTCTAGGGAAAATTACCAACATGTGAATGGTCTTGCACTTAAAACTTTTATTAACTACAACCTTTTAGTCCAGCTTTGGCAAAAAAGAGCACCTCAATAATTAAATTTCTGACATGGAAAATGCACTGAACTTACTGTACTACCCTTGGCCCCAGTTGTTGTCATAACAGAAATGCAGTTCTTTGGGAAAGGCTTTAACAATCCTTTTGTAAGCAACTTTTTGCTTATTTGAGAACCTTTATTGGTCAGTTTATTTTTCATCTTCATATCTAAGGATGCTGTGGCAGATTCTCTGTTACTGCATATGACTTTCTCAATTTCCAATTGCAGTTCTTCTGGGCCTAGAACATCAAAAGAGAAGAAACAGGCTTTTACGTCAAAAAATTCAAGGTAACAGAACAATAAATTACAGAAACAAAAGAGACCAACCCCAAATATGGGATTCAACCATAAAGAGTCACATATGAGACTAGCTCAAGTACTTCTGTAAATTAATAAACACAATTATGAGCAGCAGCTATTGCATTAAAGGTTTTATTTTCATGACTTGTTAATATACTGTTCTTAGGTTAATCACGTAGTTTGAAATTAATAAGAAAAACAATTTAATGAAGCTGAAACTCGAATGTTTTTATTAGCCAAAAAATATAGTTTCTTTCAAACACATACTGGTATGATAATCAGTAGGTCTACTGTGTATGAGGAACAGAAGGTGTGTTTTTTTCTTGTCATTGTATATATATATATAGACACCGAAATATTTCACTCATTAGCCACGAGCCGAGCCACGCTTTGGATGAGCAAGTGCGAGCTGGCTCGCTCGGTGGGCCAAGCTGAGTCCAACGGTGGGCAAGCCGATAAGCTTAGCTCAGCTTGTTTAATATCCCTATATTTGTTGTAGGAAGATATATCATATTCAGGCGATGGGATTGTATAGTGATAACAGAATTATTATTTAGGTTCGAGTACTTTCATTTGGCCAAAGAATTTGTGACTCGATATATATTTAGGGATGTTAAGTGGGACGAGTCAAACAACGAATTTCTCATGCGAGCCTGCTCATCATGAGTGAAAAATGCAATTTCAGGCGAAAAGAAAAAATAAAAAAAATTGGCGAGCCATGACCGAGCCCACACTTCGACTGAGCGAGGGTGAGACTGCTCGCTTGATGGGCCAAGATGAGCCCGACCACAGGCAAGCCGAGAAGCTCGGCTCATTTAATACACCTATATCTGTTGTAGGAAGATATATCATATATGTTAAGTTAGCGATAATTTTTGACAAGAGGTCAATCTTAAGACACATTTAAGCATCAGCCCTCCGTCAGGACATTAGAAATGATGCTTGAGCAGTCAGTTAATTGGTTATATGAAATAAGATAGCGTTGAGATAAGGCTTGCAGTTAAACTAACAAAATATATTATGGAATCTATACAGGGCAAAATAGAAAGACTTCATCATTGACAAAAATTATCGACATAGAGAAACAAATATTTCAAGTTCAGGGTAGTTTAAAAATCATACCTATTTGGCCACATTTGAACTTAACAAAGTCACAGTGAACCTCTTCACCAACATCATCACCTTCAAGTTTTTCCTTCCTTTCCATATCATAGTTTGGTAATATTATAAGGTCATCTACCCCACATGTAAACCCGTGAATCTGAGGCATTTATAAAACTAGCTTAAGATTTGAGCAATTAGGTTTGAAAACAAGTACATTTCAAAACTAAAACAACAAAGACAAGATAAAAGCACCTGCAAAAAGATTGTGAAAAGACAACTTAAAGCAGAAAGAAAAATCCCTGCGCTGTTAGACCCAAAGAGCTCCTGTACTGTGTGCACCTACCCAAACTTTCCAAACTGCGCCTTGTCAATCACACTACGCACAAGTTCATTATTCTAAATTAGCAACTTATGTTCAGCATTCTGATCCGTCTTCTTCTTCTTCATTTTTGTAGGTACTATCAGTAAAGTAATCCTTTGGAAGTTTTCCCTGATTTTTAATAGTACAGGGTGCACAACCTCGTGTTATATGGTTCAATAGAGCTGTGATGACCTAGAAAGAAACACACAAAAGATTATTATAATCCTGTTCATGTAGTTGTGAACCAATCGACGAATATTTATTATAAATACTACTTTCTTAATAAAATTCTTTGAGATCAATGCATATAAGTCTGACTTCGTTGGACATATTTAGTAAGAATCATGCCAAACCTGTTTCCCTGTCCAAAGAGGTCCTGGTTTCCACACTGCAGGCAAGACAGACTGCATCACCACACCTTCAGAATCTACTAATGAAACCTTCTGGGAATTATTGACTGGATGTGAACCAGGCATCATTGCAAACACGCCAGACCCATAAAGTAGCTGGTTGAACTCCTCACGAGTTAGAAATGTGTCCTTCATTGTAAGAAGCACAGCGCTTACAATATGATCCTGGAGCGTTAAAGTTAGAACTACGAAGTGGTTAATAAACCGGGTGGACAAACAGGAAAAAAAATAAAGAATTTTCTCAACAATTTCTGGGGAAAAAAATTATGGGAACTTGATAATCAATGAGTACTGAAACCTGAATCAAGCCTCTGACAGTATCACCCCTTGTTGGAACAATGTACTGTTCATTAGCATTTACAATGTTGTAAGCTTCAGCCCGAGAAATTTCATCTTGAGGGAAATGGACATTAATTTCATCACCATCAAAATCAGCATTATAGGAGCTGAAGCCAATTTAAAAAAAAATAAAGGTAATCTATCTAGGCAAGTCGCTTACAACAAAGAAAACAAAGACAAAAAAATCAGCAAATAAACTAACCTGCAATTTGCATAATGCATGCGAAGTGTTTTCTCTCCCTTCAATACACGAACAACATGTGCCATTATACTTGGCTTGTGAAGTGTAGGCTGAAATTAAAAATAAAGTAAGCTAAACAGACCTCTCAAACTGTATAATTACTTCATTGAACTCAAAAATGAGTATGCTTATTAATAAGCAACCAAGCAAGTATAGCACAGACCTTTAAGAATTGAACAAAAAAATCTTACAAGAAGAAACTCCCACGTGTAAGTGAAGAGAATACCAAAAGATATGTACTAGTGTTCATTTAACAAAAGTTCAGAACCAAATAGGACCATTGAAATACTTCCAATTTCATGGAAACGGGGATTAAAGTACTTCCAATTCATTCTTTTGCCACACAAACAGGGGAAAATTTCTAGTACTCCCAAAGTATGGAGTATGTAGCACTAAATACTACCGAGTTCCATACTCTGCAAGTACTAAAAATTTTCTCCACAACTAGGAGACTCCTTCAAATCATATAATTGCATGGACTACCAATAATTTATTTATCATATATTAGAGACATGACTAAAATAACCGAATTTAGAGGAAGACACGAAGTGTAGTAATGAGAGTTAAGTTAGTGTTAAATAGTTTATTTGAAGGCAAAATACCAAACTGCTAAGAGTAGAAACCTCTCGAAAAGTATCATGCCAAGTCAATGGAGGGGGTCATTCAATTTGAGAAAGTTTAATAATTTGTAAATGGGGATAGATTTCTCCATTGGGGTCAAGGAAAATCAGAGGTGAGCACATCACTTACATCTGTAAATACATCTATTCGCAGACAGAGAGACAAATATCTCAATTTCTTGGTGCCTTGGTGGAAAATGAAGGATCTTACAGATACTATCACAATTAAAGCAGTGAATAAATTGTTGATTGATGAGGAACAATTCCCAATACCTGTCGATTAACGAGCACAATATCCCCATCCTGCAAATGGCGGTACACAATCTTGCCCTCAAATTCATACTCATTCTTCTTCCCTGATTGTGTAACTACCCCTCTTGAAGAAGGTAATTTTCTAGATATTGCTATTCGCATCTTTTTGTTTAATGGTAATTTCACAGTAGAAACTTTATCAACATAAGTTGTAGCTCCAGGGTGGATATCTGGCCCGTTAATGATTGCATTCCTCAATTTGACACTATTCCAAGGAGTTACCCTCTGCAAAATATTGCGGAAGAAAGTTGGGAAAGAATGACAATAAATTTATTTGTTCAGGAATAAGCAAATGTGGAACAAAAGCAGTATAAGATGTTTCAGAGCAATAAAATATCCAAATAGCATCCCCTGAAAGGGCAAAAACAATTTAAGATGTCTCTATGCAATAAACTATCCAAATAGCATCCCCTGAAAAGGTGGTCTCTTACTCTTTTTACGTAATCCTTGCAGTTCTTTTGAATTCCATGAGACGGGGCACAGGGGGCCAAGATGTGTCCAGAATATCACGTAAAGGTTAATAGCATTGACTAAAAGTAACTAAATTTTAAAGAATAATTATAACAAGGCCCAGAGTTTCAATTTAGACCGAAAAGCCAGTTTCAATTTAGACCGAACAGCCTAACCTCTTTTGCTTTTCCCTCACTCGTGATTAATTCCACAGGGGTAGACCAATTTGCTCACATTTGAGTCATTTGACAGCCCCTGATGCAACAGGAGTTAATTGGTAGGAGACATATCATATACAGATTTACTGACGCAACTTTTGACCTCCATGTTACTAATCATAGGATTTAGGAGCTTCCACTACGAGGAAACAACACGGTGACACCCATGTGCCACCCCTGATGCCATAGTCCAAGGTTTTCAATTGAAGCTCTTGAAGAACAAAGTGGCCTGGAACCATGAATCGGAACTTGTTTGCACTAGAAACATCTTGTTATGAACCTAAAGCTAGTCAAGATAACTGTCCTATACAAATATGAGGCCACATTTTTATGTTTGAAATAGTTGAAATAATAGGCTTCTTGTATTGGATTATTTTCAAGTAACTTAGATATGATTACAATACTTTTCCCATCCTAATGCTTCATCTCATATGAGGTTTTAGAAGAAAGAGGAGGAAGGCTACATTTTCAAACAAGGCTTTTTTATTCCCCTTTTTCCTACTGATCTTCATTTTCTAGGAGATGACCAACCAACCAGCTTTTCTCTGGTGAGTACGATCTGTGAACCCCAGATTCCTGACACTTGACACTTCTACACACAGGACAGACATCTCGTAAGTACATAACAAACATTAAAAATGACCAAGGTATGTAAAAAAAATCATTGTCATGCAAAACAATTAGTGCAAACTAAGGATGGGGTTCTCGTCCTTCGCATCTGTATTGATGAAGGACGGGGAGATCTTCACACAAGGCATATTCAGGGATACTACAAAATAATGCAAAAAAATATCATCCATACCTCAGGATAGGTTAACCTCAACGCAAAGTACGGAGGAACTCCAATCTCATTGACTGCCAAATAAGGATCAGGAGATATAACTGACCGGCAAGCAAAATTTACCCTTTTTCCCATCATTTTCTGACGGAAAATACCCTCTTTCTTTTCCAGCAATTGACAAATTCCAGAAGTGATATCTTTTTTGCCCGGACCTGCCAATATTTTGTGGAGAAAGAAGCTTTCAATACTACACAAAATGACTAATTTACACTACTGAAAACAACAGGACCTAAAATAATCATTCAGTTGTCCAACAAAAAAATTAGAGTTGCATGTGAAGTGGCTCTAGGGTGAACCAATTAAGTCTTCTCATAATCCATTGAGGAAAGGTGGCACTGCTGGTATGATGTTATGCACATTATAAACTTTAGCAACTGATCTCTGCTGTTGTTTCTCAAATGAATAGTTAACATACAGCTATACACCCATTTTTGGGAAAGCACAACTGTTCCAAGGCTGGTGACCTTAAAGACTAATCAAGTGGAAGAGATATGTCATACTAGTTGCAAGGCAAATATGTTACCAATGGTTTGTGGTTATTGGCTCAAAATATTGGATCATTGTAAGTGAATTTTTAATATCGGGATATGTTCACACCAAAATCAAGCTGAACCTAAAAATCAATGAATTTTGTGATAGAAGTAGTGGCTGGCCGTAGCTATACACTAAGTATGATTTATGAAGTAGATATGAGAGGATGGACCTGCATGTATCACACATAAAAGAACACAAGCACAGAACATATGCAGAACATATAAGAGCAGACACCCTCAACTTCCAAAAAATTTGCAAACAAAAGCAATTAATAACTATATTTATTTGATGAGCAACTGATCGATCCCACAATAAAAAAGGATTCATCTCCATCTTTCATGCCTTCTCTATATCGTTAGGTTTTCCAAATGCACATTAAATTTATTTGACACGGTTTTTGAAACAATTAATTCAACCTAAACGTCCCAAAATCTTTCAAAATGTCAAAATTAGTCAACTCCTGCATCAGCAATGTGATACTCATGATAAACTAGAATATCCTTTTAGTCACGCTAGGAATAAGGACAATTTTGGAGCCATGATAGAGGTTCACTCGAACAAATTGGTGAAAAAAGATTCTTGTGGCTCCAAAGTTCATTTGAAATAAGGTTTATATTGTTGTCAAATTTTTTTGGTATACACCAAAAAAAGAAAAGGTGGTATTAGATATTTCACCACCTTCCTCATCTAATTGTCATATTTTAAGATTCAGAAAGAGGAAGCGATAAACGAAAATGAATTAACCAAATTATTCTTTTACGGAATTCGTACGAAACAGATATAGTAATATAGCCCAACCTCCAAGTTGCATTTACTTTCCCTTACAAGGATATACATTATGTTCTTGCTTAGAAGAATTGGCTTCTAAGCCCCAATTTGATAGCCATTATTGTGTAAAAATAATATTTTGAATGCTGATTTTTTTTAGAACGTGTGGTTAAAAAATGGGGAAAAGTTTTGGGTTTAAGTGCAAAATATTTTATTGTGTGAATGTGTGGTTGAAAATGAGTGAGAAATAAAATTGTTTTGTTTTAAAGGGAGTCAAACAAGGGCTAAATAACTACTTATCCTCTGTATTAACCCAAATGAAAATATCATTTAAGAGCTAAGTCTTCACACTTGTATAGGAGACGGTGTCAAAATTGTATATAACAAGTGATAAATACGTTAACATTTCTCTAGAAAAAAATGTTAATAACAAAAAAAAAATGAAGACAAGAAAAGTAAAATTACCAGTGGCAGTTTTGCTATCATATAATACATTTATAGATTGTTGAAGATCCATCCAGCGATTAATGATCTTTGAGTGCTCAGCACTGTTAACATGAACATTTCCTAAAGCTATATTGGATTGCAGCACTTTCCCCAATAAAAGAGTATGAGGATGCTCCATTACCTGAAGAAAACATCACACTATAAGTACTGTCATCCACTGAGCACAAATGGGCAAAAACAATCATTATTACAGTCTTTACAAATAATTAACAGAATATGGATGTAAATAGCCTGATTCTTCCCAGTTCCACGACCTAAATGGAAATATAATATAAGGGCCTATTTGGTAGGCATTCTCATTTTCTACAATAAATCAATTCTTATTTTCAACCACATTCTTCAATAAAATAATATTACACGCAAATCCAAAATTTTTCCTTATTTTTTAACCACACATTTTCCATCAAATCACTATTCCAAAATGCATTTTTGGGAAGAAAAAAATGGGGCTCAAACATGCTCTAAACA